TAATGTAGATGTGCTAAGGGAAATGAGCCAGGCATAGAAAGACCAGTGTCCTACGATCTCACCTATTATACAGAATCTGAGAGGTAGGAAGCTCATGGGAGAGTATAAAGTAGTTATAATGGACTGAGGGTGGTGTGAACAGAGATGATGGTAAAAGGACACAGATTTCAAATCGACAGGAGACAGAAGATCAAGAGCTGTGTTGTACAACCCAGGGAGTATCGTTAACAACAAAGTATTGTGTACTTGAAAATTACTAAGAGAGTAGATTTTAAGTGTTCTCACCAGGAAAAATAAAGCATATGAGGTAATGTGTATGCTAATTAGTTTGGCTTAACATTCATTTCATAATGAATACATATTTTAAAACATTGTGTTGTACACTAAAAAAACACACATTTTATTTGTCGATTTAAATTTTTTGAAATTCAAGAAAACCTATTGCTCTTTATCAGAGCTTTATGAGGTAGGAGCTGTTTATTGTTCTGATTTACAAATAAGGGACACAGGACCTGGAGCTTAAACTGTCTTGCTCAAGGACATGGGTTTTGGACCCAGATACCCCATCCTAGAGCTTGAACTCCTATATACATCTTGCCTATGCTGAATCTCACTGATGCAGATCCCTTCCTTACCTCATGGTAGAATTATTTGAATGTTACTTTTAAGACTTCCTCATTTTTTTTCAATTCTCACCACTTCCAGAGTTCTTGGGAAGTGTTATATTTGGGTTCAGTTTTCCCAAGATTCTGTTCCCTGAGATCAGGGATGTTCCCACAACCTTATTCTACACACTGTCTGTTACTTAACAATGTAGTGTAACAAACATTTCCCCAAACACTATGACTTCAAGTAAGAAACACAGATTTCATTCATCATTCTACAGGAAAGTTGAAGGTTCTGGTCTTAGTTGGGCTTGGCCACATCTTGAGATTTAAGTGGCTCTTAGCTGATATGTGCTGGCTGGGACAATACTGGGATGCTTGGTTCTGAACCAGATCTCTTGCCTTCCAGCAGGCTAATATAGACAATGGTAGAAGGGCAAAAACACATGAGCTCACTTGTTACTAGTACTTTTCCTGCTAGCCTGGTCCCACAACCAAATGAATACTCAGAGACTTATATTAATTATACTACTGCTGGCCAATGGCTTGGGCTTCTTATTGACTAGCTCTGTCTTAATTATTAACCTGTAGCTACTAATCTATGTATTTCCCCATGGTCTTGGCTTACTGGAGAATGCCGGACCTGCAACTCCTTTGCCTGCTACATTACCTCTGACTCTGCCTACATTTCCTCATCTCCTATGCCTGCCTATCTTCCTGCCTGGCCAATCCGTGTTTTATTCATCAACCAATAAGAGAAACATATACAGAATAACATCTCCCATCACTCAGTGTGCATGCACTCATCAAACTTCTGTGTAGATTCACCTTTGCTAGCATCCCATTGGCCAGAGCAAGTCATTTATCATATAGTAGGACCTGAGAGCCACTGGGAGAATATTATGGTTATATATATGGTTCAAGGAATGGACATGGAGAGGGATAAGAAATTGGGCCATGAATACACACAACCTATAACATTTCATCCTTCTTAACAAAAGATAGAACAGAGAGAGAGAGAAAGAGAGAGAGAGAAAAGGGAAGAGAGAAAAGGGAAGAGAGAAAAGGGAAGAGAGAGGGGGAGGCAGAGAGAGAAAGAGAGAGAGAGAGAGAGAGAGAGAGAGAGAGAGAGAGAGACAGAGAATGCATTTGTATGTACAGGATGAATGGAGATCAGAGGGTAAGCAAATGTCACCCTCCTCAAGTACCACCTTCCTTGTGTTTTGAAGCAGGGTCTCTCACTGGCTGTGTGATCAGCTAGGCTAGCTGGATGTTGTTGTCTTCCCAGCACTAGGATCACATGCTCATGCCACCATGTCCAGCTATTTACACAGATGGTGTTGGAGATTGAACTAAGATCCTCATACTGGCACAACAAGCAGTTTACAGACCAAGTTCTCATGCCTGCCTCAGAACAAAATTAAATTTCAAGTAAAACAGTCATTTAGATAAAGCACCCCAAGGACCCATAGACTAGAGTTGAGCTCTGAAGGGCTGTGAAGAAGGGGGCACAGCAGGGAAAAGGTACACAAGTGAGTTCTTTAGAGAACGAAAACAAGCCTCCCTTTGCACCCGCAGGAAACAGAGTGCACAAATCAGCCAGTGAGGTCCCTGTTCTGGAGGCAAGGTGACAGACAGGCAGTGCCTGCCACTGTGCCAGTGTCTGAGCAATAAAGTTAGTGCAGAAGCGACATCAGAGCAGGTGGTAGCTACACCGACTCAGTTAGTGATTTCTCAGAATATCAATGTCTCGTTTTGTTTCTCCTGTAGAAAGCTCAAATATTGGATTGCCTGATTCAAAGTTGGCCCCCAGGCAACCCCAGCGCTTCCAAGAGGGCACGAGTGAGTATCTATTTTCTTTCTGTTCCTGGAAAGCAGCAACTGTCATTTTCTGGGCTCACACACCCTGCACACAGGCTGATTATAATCCTCTCCCTGAGAAATGGGGGAACCCTAGGAAGCCTGCCAAAACCACTCTCCAAATATCTAAATCCATGGCTGTTGCTTCTGGTGGGAGATACCAGAAATGGTCACCCTCCTGAAGAAGGAAAGGTCGGGACCTGTGGGTAAATACTGACTGGTGTAAACATTTCATTTTAAATCAAAAAAGCCTCAGTAGCTGGGAAAACTTACCCCAAACAAAAACTAAACACATGAAAGCGAGCCAACGAGCACTCTGCTTTCTGTCACAGGGATGCCAAGACAGTTTCAGTAACAGCATCGCCTTCTCTCGGGGGGCACTGATAGGGGGAAACAGGCTGCTTGATGGTGACTGGAGGCAAGGGGGATCTTGGCTTCCTTCCCAGAGTGCATTGGTTGGGAGAAATCTCCAGAATCCTCTCTTCTTCAAGCATTTATCATGTACTGGCTCTTTATATTCGTTATCTCAATCAACCTTGAAAGAATCTCCAGAAGGGGCAAGGGAGATGGTTTGGTTTGGTTGGTAAATCACTTGCCATGCAAGCATGAGGACCAAGTTCAGTCCCCAGCACCCAAGTAAAAATGCTAGGCTGGAGGCATGCACTTGTGATTTCAGGTCTGAGAGGGTGGAAACAGGTGGATCCCTGGGTCTAGCTAGGCAGCCAGTCTTGTCTACTTGTCAAGTTCTAGGCCAGTGAGAGAGCCTGTCTCAAAAAACAACAACAACAACCAAAAAAAAAAAAAAAAAAAAAAAAAACCATACTCACAAAAACAAGTATACCGCACCTAAGGAAAAACAACATGATATTGTCCTCTGGCCAGCACACATACACACACACACACACACACACACACACACACACACACACACACACACACACAGGGTGGGTCCAGGTAGAGCTGTGTGCATCTTCATTTTGCAGATCATGGAAATGAGGCAACACACTTTAGTGATGGAAACTGCCCAAGCCACAAAACTGTGTGTCTGACTGCAGCATTGACCCATCCAAATGTGGCTCTGAGAAGCCACCATGCATGATGTCCTCCCTTCAGAAACCATCAAGCCAGGCTGCCTTCAAGTCAGGGCCATCCATATTTTCCGGGGATACAATTTCCAAGGAGACTGGCCAGCAGAGGGATTGAAGACAACTTGTGTCTGGAGTCGCTGTAACTGAATTGCCTGGGGTTCCCAGGGAAAGGAACGGACTGGGATTATTTTCTTATCACATCTTCAGCACCCTTGTCTGCTGATTATCCACTACTATTATTTTGTGCATTTAGGTGGAAGGGCAGGGACACATATATGCTTGCACATGTATGCAGGTACATATAAAAGTCAGAGATTGATATTGAATGTGTTCCTTGATTTTTCTCCACCTTATTTTTTGAGACAATCTCCTGTTGAACCTGGAGCTCATTAATTGACTAGTCTGGCTGGTCAGCAAGCTCCAGGGACCTCTTAACACCATCTCCTTCTAATCCTGGGTTTACAAGTGCACACTGCTGTGCCTGGATTTGGACACAGGCAATAGGGACCTGAACTTAGGTCCTTAAGCTTGTGCAAAACCCAGGTTGCAATCACTCCAATCAGCATCCACAGTGCATCTGAAACAGACAGACTTGTGCTTCCTCTCTCCAGTTCTCCTTGGTCTATAACAAGAATGTGCCTTACTCAACAGTAGGCACACTCTGCTGTGGGCCAAGACATCTTCTTCATGGGAATACCTTGTTTGTCACTCCAACCACTGATTCGGACCACACAATCCTTCTACTCTTTACCCAGAGCATCAGCAGCTACTTACGAAGCTTGGTCAAGTGGTAGTGGCACATACCTTTAATCCTAGCACTTGGAAGGCAGAGGCAGGCAGATCTCTGTGTGTTCAAGGCCAACCTGGTCTACAAAGCAAGTTCCAGGACAGCTAGGAATGTTACACAGAGACACCTTGTCTCAAAAACAAACACAAAAACAAGCTATATGAAACTTGAGTTCATCATCTGCTTGAATGAGTTTCTTGGCTGGGAAGGAGATATTCAGCTTCATCTTGCACAGTCAACTATCTAGAAGGTACCATGAAAAAGGATCCATGTATTTTTTTTTTACTTTTCCTCAGAGTGGATGTGATATTTATTACTAAACACGATTAGATGGGGTGGACCGCCCAGTAGAAGAAGCCCTTGGGTGCAGTGCTTCAGGGGACTGTGGCTGGGCATATAGTTGATCACAACTATCAGGGATAAGCTGCTTCTCAGCTACCATATCTTCAGAGAAGTCCCATTTCTTTGAGAGATGAATCTCCTGGTAGCTTAAGGAGCCTGAATTTGGTCCTATGCAGGGCTTAGGGTGAATGTACATGATGATCTGGCCAACATGACTTCTGACCATTGTGTCCTGGGGTTTTCCAGAGGCATCTCACCTACCTGTCAGGAACCTAGACTGGGAACAGTATTGAGATCAGAGACATAAATATACTAGAACATTGTCTCCAAGGTCCCTTAGGGCAGTCCATATAAGAAATAGGCTGCTACACTACCAAGGAGGGGTGTTTAGAGCCACTGCACAGAAGGCTCCTAAGAGTAAAGGAACCTGCTTGACTTAACTGCTTGCCAACATCTATTTTTTTAAACAAATGATATTGCATCCAAAAGAAAAGTCACTAGGAAATTGAAATTGCATTGAATATATATGAAGAAATGATGTAAACATTTTATATTTAAATGTTAATAATAACAAACTGCTCACTGAATTCTTTATAACTATTTAAAATAACAATACGTGTGGGGAGTGGTTGAGACAGGGTTTCTTTGTGTAACCCTGATTGTCCTGAAACTTAACCTGTAGACCAGGCTGGCCTCAAACTCAGAACAATACATTTTTAAAAGTGTGCCATTATGGAGATTTTTCACATTTCCTTTCAAGGCACATAGGTAGAAGATGTACAAAGGCCTCTGATTTTTATCCAAGCACTTCTTTATGCAGATGAAGCTCTTGAAATCCAGAGGGTTGCAAGGTCATATAGCAAAGTAATACCCAACCCAGGCCCACCTCCAAGGTCTTAGAACTCTTTATTTGTCCTTGTATTAGTCATTTTTCTTCTTGCTATAACAAAATACCTGCCAAAAAGCAGCTTATGGAAGAAATGGTTGCTTATGACTCATGGTTCCAGAAGATGTCAATTGGTGTGGTGGTGGTGGTAGTGGTGGTGGTGGTGGTGGTGGTGTGTGTGTGTGTGTGTGTGTGTGTGTGTGTGTGTGTGTGTGTGTGTGTATGTGTGTGTGTGTATACAGTGATAGCAGCTTGAAGCCCTGGCCACACCCTATCCATAGTCAGGAACTAGAGACCGATAATTGTTTTAAGATATTTGGTGACACTGAATAAAGATATGTCACTGTGATTGGTTCAATAAAGATCTGAATGTCCAGTAGCTAGGCAGGATTTCTAGGCACAGAGGATGCTGGGAAGAAGTCAGGGTCACCAGTGACGAGAGTAAACAGACATGCAGGAGGAAAGGTAAAGCCATGAGTTACGTGGCAACGTGTAGATGAATGTTAATTCATTAAGTTAAGTTAAAGAGCTAGTTGGAAACAAGCCTAAGCTATCAGCCCAGTTTTCGTAATTAACAATAAATCTCCATGTTATGATTGGGACCTAGCTGGTGGGACAGAGAAAGTCTGACTACAGATCATCACCTGTGTTCAGCCTATTTTCTCCTTTACTTTTGTAGTTCAGGCCCCCAGACTGTGGGATGGTGCTGCCCACAGTTAAGGTGGGTCTTCTAACTTCAATTAATTGCATCTGGATAGTCCCTTGCAGGCTGGCCCAGAGGCTTGTCTTCTAGGTGATTCTAGATCCTGTCAAATTGACAATATGAAGCACTACAACAGTCTACTCCTAACCAAAGCTAGTTCCCCACATCAGAGCCCCATGAGGTGCCAGCACTCCAAAGGCATCAAAGAGATGAACATTTATCTAGAGCAGTGGTTCTCAACCTTTTGAATGCTGTGACCTCTTAATACGGTTCCTCATGTTATGGTAACCTCAACTAATTATTTTCATTGCTACTTCATAATTGTAATTTTGCTACTTTTATGAGTCATAAAGTAAATATCTGATATGCAGATAGTCTTACATGACTACTGTGAAAAGGGTTTTCAGCCCCAAAAGGTGTCTTGACCCACAGGTTGAGAATTGTTGATCTAGAAGGTACTTGCCCAAAAAGGTCAGGGCTGGGTGAGAACAACAGAGTCTATCTAGTAACCTTGCTTCAGCAGCACACACACCAAGGACTGTCAAGATGGGAAACTGGGTTCCATTCTTGGACCTGAGGGCACACAAGAAAGGTGACCTGTCCAGGACACCGGGCAGCCTGGAGCCTCAGTAGAAAGCCACCACCAGACTAACAAAAGTGAAAAATATAATGTCCTGAGTACTAAATAAAGAAATACTTAACAAATCAACATGACAGCTACACAGAATAGTAGAAAAAAAAAAAGAAATAAACCAAACAAATATGCTAACAATCAGATTCTGAACTTAAAACTATAGGTGAATTTGAAATTATGGATTAGCCTGATGTACTGGAGCATGCCTGTAGTCTTAGCTCTAGGGTGGGCATGGACATGAAGGTTCAAGGCCAGTCTGGATTACCTTGCCGTAGATGCCAATGGACAATCAAACCTTTGAATGCTAGGTAAGAACAAAGGACAGTGCCTTAGCCTGGGCTTCTGAGCCCACCCTCCCAGTCCTGCCAGAGTATAGCAGGCTGTGAGGAGAGCAGCTGAACTGCTGAAGTCACAGAACTTTCTTGGGACACAGTAAGAGGTGCACACGCACAATAGCACATGTGAAAGGCCTTCGGCAGTAGTTATGCATGGAGATCAACAGCTCTATTAGTCTAAGATTCTGGTCATGGTTAGGGTAAGTATAGTTCTCTGGCTGGGTCTGTACATACGGGCAGCAGAGACCAGATGATGGCACAAGCCAAAACACACAAGTCTGGTTGGCTTCCCAGGCTGCACACATGTGCAGGCAAACCAAGAGGGCTTAGCGGGGAGGAAATGCTGGAATAGACTTTAAAGGGCCCTGAATTTTGAGTTTGTTCTCTTACCCATTAATAGATGTCAGCAGTGGATGACAGCCCGACTTGCTTGAAGTGTCTCAATATAACTCTGACAATCACTGACTATTAAAATACAGACCCAGGACCGGCCCTTAGGAAAGATAGCCTTTAAAAGGAAAAGCAAGAATAAATGTAAAGAAATGGGATGTGGGGAGGTAGTTGAGTCAGTAAAATACCTGCTGTATAACCACAAGGACCTGAATTCTGATCCTTAGTACTCATGTGAATATAAGCCAGACACATGGTAGCTTGTGCCTGTAGTCCCAGCACTGGGAAGATGGATACAGGCAGACCCTTGCAGCTTACTCTTCACCCAGTCTAGCTGAACTGAGGAGCCCCAGAATCAACGAGAACCTCTGTCTCAAAAGTAAAGGTGGAAGAAGAGTCAGGGGCCAGCTGGCTGGCCTGACCAACTTGGCAGCTATCAAGCAGACCCAGATCCAGTGCCTCGAGTCTGTCAGCCCAACACCTACTCCATCTACAAACTGCTAGACCTTGAGGAGGAACTAGTGTAGCCAAGCTAGATCTGGGAGCACGTCATCAATACTGAAGACGAAAACCCGGAACATGAGTGTGATCAAAGAAGTCGTGGCAATGGTCTGGTATTTTCGGCGCTTCAGAGACTAGAGGCCTTGAGCCAGACCAATGACACAGGCGTGAATATTTGCATGTAGAGCTGTATAGGCAATGAACGAATAAATAAATAAACAAATGTACTGAGTAACAAGAGGCAGGAGGGGTGGGGGTTAACCTAGGAGGACTGGGAAGTAAGGATAATTGGGGTATATTATGAGAAGTTCCCAAATAATCAATAAAATATTTGTTATAAAAAATTTAAGGTGGAAAAAGGCTGAGGAAGACAGCCAACATTGACTTCTAGCTTCCACATGCACCACACACACATACACACACACACACACACACACACACAGAGAGAGAGAGAGAGAGAGAGAGAGAGAGACAGAGACAGAGACAGAGAGAGAGAGAGAGAGAGAGAGAGAGAGAGAGAGAGGGAAGAGAGGAAACAGATCAGCACAAACAACCCATTTTGGAGGACAGAAAGGAAAAACTGGAAAGAAAATAAACAACACAAGAATAGATATTCTTGCATTTCAAAACAAAAGGACCCATACCTCCATGCACCATAGTTCAAATGCTAAAAACAAAGACCAAAGCAAAACATCTTAGAAGTAGGAAAAAAGTTGGGAATGGTGGTACACACCTTTAAACCCAGCACTGCAGAGGCAAAGGCAGGAGGATCTCTGTCACTTCCAGGCCAGCCAAGGCTACAACAGGGAGTCACTGCCTCAAAGGACAAAACAACAAAACTACCAAGAGAGGACCAGAGAGATCTCACTCAGTAAAGCACATACCTTATGTCTTACTTAGCTAGGGTTTCTATTGCTGTGAAGAGATAGCATGACTATGGCAACAAAGGAAAACATTTAGTTGGGTGGCTTATAGTTTCAGAGGTTTAGTCCACTCTCATCATGGTGGAAAGCAAGGCAGCATGCAGGCAGACACGGTGCTGGCAGGGTAGCTGAGAGTTCTACATCTTGATCTGCAGGCAACTGGAAGCAAACTGTCATGCTGGGCATGGCTTGAGCACATATGAGACCTCAAAAGCCTACCTCCACAGTGACATACTTCCCCCACCAAGGTCACATCCACTCCAACAAAGTCACACCCCATAATAGTGCCACTCACTATGGGCCTATGAGGGCCATTTTCATTCAAATTACCACATCTTGCAAGCAAGATGACCTTAGAACCATCATTTAAAAAAAAAAACATTTAAAAGACCAGGAAAGGTGGTATGTGCTTCTGCTTGTCCCAGTACTGAGCAGGTAGAGATAGACCCTTGAGTCTCACAGGTCAGCCAGTTTAGTCTATTTGATGAGTTCCAGGCCAATGAGAGACCTTGGACAGCCAAAATTGTTATATAGCCTTCACACACATGTGCACATACACATGTGTGCTGATACCCACAACTATACAAACACACACACACACACACACACACACACACACACACAAAGCAGCAAGAGAAAAAATTATTCCACACACTAGAAAGTACATTAACTTCTATCCTGCCTTTTCATATAAGATAATAGAAACCAAAAGGACATATTAAAAAGCACTAGTTAAAAAACACTAAACCTGCCAAAAGAAGAATTCTACAATAATCAAAAATATCCTTCAAACAAAAGCTAAATAAAGACAGTCCAAGATTAAAATATAAGTCAGCGGATAAAAGGGCTAGCAGCAGTGATGACTCGAGGACTTGTCTTACAAGACTATATAAAAAGTCCTTTGGGCAGAAAGGGATTGAAACCAGATGGTAATCAGAATCTACAGGAAGAAATGAAAACTGCCATAAATGATAAATATATGACTTAATATCAGAGTCTCTCTCTTTCTCCCATTTCTGTTTTATTCCCTTCACTTTTGCAAAAGACATAAAATTATGTAAAAATAATACTACCCTTA